ATTTTTTTTAGATATTTTGTTCCATTACTGTTAATTCTATTTAAACATTCAAATGGAACAGGCCAAAGAAATTAACCTTTATCTTTACTCGCCTTTAACTCAATTTCTAATTAATAAATATATCCATACTGCTACACCTTACAATTGATATATTATTAATATATTATTTATATTTTGTAGACATGGCATACTATCAATGAGAGTGTAGTACAATAACATTAGACACCCACCGTAGCTCTTTAAATTTAATAAAACAAATTAAAACAGCAAATACATACATATGCCTATTTTGCTCGCCAAGAAAACACGGTTTGTTTTTAAAACAGTGAACATATTTATCAAGAAAAAATAAAATAAGGAATACATCCGAATGCATCGTTGGTAGGAGAGCGGTACCCCCTATTTCTTTTTTGGAATGGAATGATCTGATAGTAGAATTATTTATGATCTGGGATTATATATATATATATACACACACACACACACACATATATTTAATTTTTATATATTCATTTTTTTTTTACATTTCATATTATATCATAAAGATTTAAAAAGACAAAAGAATCCCAATTTATCGGGTGGCTAGCTACTGTATAGCCCTCCCAGGGCTTGTACAGCACCCTGCCTGGTAACGGCACAGCCAGTGGGTGCTGCAGAATATATATGAGCTTCAGCTGGTACTGGTACTATACATTGTAAGAGGGTGGATGAGATTTTTCCAATGAAGAGCAGGATTGGAGCCCACGTGTCCCAGATCTGATCTGTGGGTGAAGGAGGCTGAATTGATGGCAGGTTGTAGTAAAAACACGTGTATGGCTGTGCGTAAAAAAATACAGGATGGAGGGAGTGCGCAGATCTGTAAAGACTACAGAGGGCAGGGGGAAGAAGCTTCCTACAATGTAGCGGCTAGAGCCGGTCAGCCTACCCATGGCAGGGCTATAGTGACCCTGATCTTATTTATATATATATATAGTGTTAATGAATATAAGGTAATTCCAAGATGAGCCCCAGAGACAGGCGGGCACAGGGATCTGGTACTCATTGGCATTATGGAGAAGGCAGAGGGGCAACACGGAGGCAGCAGAGAGGGAGGGATTATGGGGGCATGGCAGAAATGGGAAAGATGGAGGAGGTAGAAGCAGGACACTGGCTAGGTGCAAAGTAAAATGGCATTTATATAGGCATAGGACACGATGGAGTGCATCTAAAACTCCTCATAGGACAATCAGAGGCTAGAAATGTCTGAGCAATGCCAGGGAAAGCGGGGAAAGCAGCTAAGTGAGACAGAAGATATTGAGAATGATGTGTCTGTCTGGCATTGATTTGCCTCCCAAGCGATACATACATGGCAGCAACAACACAAGAGCCATCCCTGCTCCTAAAACATGGACATGAGATTGCGCTGCAAGCCAGTAGTCCCCCCTCATCTTCCTCACAAGACAGAAATCACACACAATGTTATACAGATTAGGGGGAAAGGAACCCCCCAAAGCATCCGTATACATTTTATAGCATGTTTCATTATTTAAGGGCTGCGGTGGGCAACGTGAAGCAAATAATTAGCTGGGCTGAATGACTAATGTATGTCTGCTGTTAATATTTCAAGTGTAGAGAGAAGGAAGTGGGGGAGAAGGGAGGGCAGGATGAGGCCTCTGTTCTACCCAGTGTTCCCTACTGCCCCTGAAAACCAAAAAGACGCAAAGTAAAGAGGAAATAATCCCCAATCACCAATACCCCCCTTCCCCCATATAGCTTTAGTGGAACTGTTATTTAATCTGATCTGATCACCACTGATTATGATATGTATCGGTGTTTCTGGACACTTTGTTATAAAGGAAACAGTAATGTGCAAAGTGTAGCAATGCAAAATAACCAATCAGATTTCAGCCAAGACCAGTGAAATGACTCACACTGGAGCTTGTGATGGGTTAATGTGCTCCGCTACTACTCTGTCCTATATGTACACCTGTCCTTGTAAGTGTCAGAATCTGCCTTGTACCTTGCACAAACCTCTCTCTGTCTCTCTCTCTCTCTCTCCAGTATATATATAATGCATTTAACTGTCATTTTGAAAATGCATTAGGAGGGGCATCACTTACTGACCCTTATTTCCAAAAGGTTTACTGCCTGCATTTTCTACAAGTCATGTCAAAGCACTATCTATCATCTGTCTATCTATCTATCTATCTATCTATCTATCTATCTATCTATCTATCTATCTATCTATTTATTTGTTTTTGTCTTTACTTATCTACAACTCTGTCTATTTAAAAGGCCCCTTGTGTGTAAAGTATGCGCAAACTAGAAATGTCAGTCTATAACTTCAGTAATTCCTTTCCCAAGTGTTTGTTTGGGCACAGTGACAGTATGAACATGAAATAGTGCAATGATTGGATTCTCTAGATGGCTTCTGATGAGATGCTCTCCTTATTTTTTAAGGTCCCAGATCCCGAAAACCAAAGAAGAAGATGGTCAGCAAAGAGGACAAAAGGCCCCGGACAGCGTTCACTGCGGAGCAGCTCCAAAGGCTCAAAGCTGAGTTTCAAACAAACAGGTATTTGACCGAGCAGAGAAGACAAACTTTGGCTCAGGAACTGAATCTTAACGAGTCTCAAATTAAAATTTGGTTTCAGAACAAACGAGCTAAAATTAAAAAAGCGACAGGAAACAAAAACTCTCTGGCACTACATCTGATGGCACAAGGACTCTATAACCACTCCACCACCTCCAAGGACAGCAAATCAGACAGCGAATAGAAGCAGATGGTGGAGCAAAGAAAACGAGTCTTACAATGCAATAATTTAAACAACAACAACAAAAACAACACACAAATGTAAAAAAAAAGGCGAAAAAAAAGATGACAAGGGCCAGTGTACAAAAAAATATACCAGCAACTTGCTTCTTTATGGGGACAAAAATTCGCAATATTATATGTAAATAATTTACAGGCAAAACTTAAAAAAAATCCAAAATATTCGCTCCTGAACTATTTTTGTTTCCTTGTTTGATGGAATTGAGGTTCTATCGTTACCGATTATTTTATGCTTAATGCTTTATTTTATACTAAGCGACGTTTTTTGGGTTTTGGACGTTCATGTGATTGAACAGCTCTGCTAAAAGTCCAAAGATTAAACTGCTGCATTTTTTCGCACTACTGTGAAATTTAATAAATAGCTAATATTTGTCCTAAGTTTTTATATTATAATTTTTGTGTTATCTTAAAATAAAAAGCAGGAACGATGTTTTATTGCATTGTATTAAAACGTATACATTTTTTTTGTTGCTTTCTCTTAAAAAATGTTTTAATAGGTGTGTAAAGAGTTGCAGAAATATGATTTATTTATACATGGAGGGGGTGAAATATTTTGCACTTAGGTCCTGATTATTTTTATTTGTTCTGGGGGTGGAAAGGGTTGGGGTAATCACAAGAGGTAAGAGCAAAAAGGAGGGGGTTACTATATCATTTTTTATGTCAGTTTGGTATATTATTGTCTCACTGCTGCAATATTACTGCCGTTCGTAAGGCAAGGTGGCATCCAATCAGTTTGGCAGAGGATGCCACCCCCTTGCGGCAGTGGGTGTCTAAGCTCCACCCACTGATTACCCACTCACTTCCTAAAATACCCTTTCTAAGCATGGCGCTCCTGCCATCCCTGTCTGTGACACCATCTTATTGGTAGCTAGATGTGGTTGCATCTACCCATAAAGTATACTACTTCTGTATACCGCAATCCAGAAATTCAGTTAGTAAATGCTATGTAGTTTCATTTTGCATCCCCTAATACTACATACATGTCTAGTACAAGCTTGGATAAGGAATAGTCAGCTGAATGTCTTACACAAAGGGTTAGCATACTTGTAGTACACCCATGATCATAGGTAAGGCATAGTCAGCTGGGTGTTCTACACAAAGGGTTAAAATACTTGTAGTACACTCATGATCATAGGTAAGGCATGGTCAGCTGACTGTCCTACACAAAGGGTTAACATACTTGTAGCACAAGCTTGGAAAAGGAATTGTCAGATGGGTGTCCTACAGAAATAGGTAAAATATTTGTCGTACGGTCTTGGACAAATCATAGTCACCTGGGAGTCCTACACAAAAGGTTAAATTACTTGTAGTACACTCATGATCATGGATGAGATATAGTCAGGTGTCCTACAAAAGGTTTAAAGTACTTGTAGTACACTTATGATCATAGGTAAGGCATAGTCAGCTGGGTGTCCTACGCAAAGGGGTAACATACTTGTAGTACACTCATGATCATAGGTAAGGTCAGCTGGGTGTCCTTACACAGAGGGTTAAAGTACTTGTAGTACACGCATGATCATAGGTAAGGCATAGTTAGCTGGGTGTCCTACACAGAGGGTTAAAGTACTTGTAGTACACGCATGATCATAGGTAAGGCATAGTTAGCTGGGTGTCCTACACAGAGGGTTAAAGTACTTGTAGTACACGCATGATCATTGGTAAGGCATAGTCAGCTGGGTGTGCCATTTCAGACACAACTTGTAAAATATCTGCACTACAACATTGGATTGTATGTGGGATCCACATGCCTTGCAGGAAATTTTGCACATTTGACAAATGTGTATACAGTCATTTGCAGAGCTATTAGAATGCCTCAACATAGGAATTAACCCCATGCGGGCCATTGCTTTGTTGGTGTTTAGTGAATGAAGTAAAGTTTCATGGCAACGAAAGGGTTATATATTGGGAAAACTATCGTGGGCGGTGCCACAATTTTGATGGGCGGGGCTAAAAGAAACACGAGTCTACAGAACCAAGAACAAACCTATCTATTCCAGATGACACAAATAATACCAGCTACACATCTAATATTGTCATTATGTAGCATTCAGTCACAACATTGTACAAATCAAAGAGACAACTTTTTTGTTTTTGTTTTACTCCGCCTAATAAAAGCTCCAAACCAGTGTAAATACAATGTTACCATATGCTTGGTCTCAGTCACAGCTTATTTTTATTTTTACAATGTATGCCAGTGTAAATAAAACAAAAAAACCCCACAAATCGCACATTTTGAATCTTTTCTGCTCTAGGTTTTTTTCTCAGTGCCATTACAAGTTGAATGTTCAGTTCTAAGCTATTAGACGAGCCTATATTAATGTGTTCAGTGACACGGATTCAGGACTGGTCACCTCTGAGGGATGAATGTTCTATATCTGCCTTAAAAATACTCTAATCGTATGGTTTTGCTATACATAAAATATTATAATGTATACTTCAAGAAAAAAAAAAAAAAAAAGCTCATATGAATGTTGTTTCACCCTCTTCTGCTAGTTTTAGGGGGCAAATATATCGCTTTATCAGTGGAAACTAGCATCTTCATGTTAGTTTTTAAGGTTATGAAATATGGCCTGACGTTTGTAATTTTATTATTAAGATATCACTCCATATTGTGTCTGTTCAGTCCTCCAAAAATGCATCAAATAAACCATTTTATTATGCCCATAATGTGTTGAAGTATGTGTTGTACTGGTCAGCTAAAAGTTAACAACTACAAGAATGGACAAGAACACAAAACACTAATAGTTATATAAGAACAACAAGCAATATTTTACACTATTATTAAATATCTTGAAAACAGCGGAAGACAATATCAATAATAACAAATAATAATAATACAGAAAATAGAATTGGAATTAATGTTTATCAACATTTCTCTAATTCTAGACCTACCCATTCAGTCTTTCATTTTGATTTTACACATAATTATTTAGTTATGTATCTGACAGTAAACTGTAAAAAAAATCCCAAAGTTCAGACTGTAAGTAGCAGTAAAAAGAAAAAAAAAAAAATCGCAAAAAAGTATCCGAATCCGAAATCTCCCCCATCTCTTCCCAAGTGTAAAATACAACCACTTATGTGTTTTAATGTTATTTGTTTTTTGCAATGTCAAACACAAATGAAACACGTCTTTGGCAATGGGAAGTTGGCATGTTGGGACGGGAAACTCAACAACCTGGAAGCATGGGCAAAGCTGCACGATTCTGGCCAAGGATTTTGTGTGGCATGGGGAGACATTATTAACTTGTAACACTGAGGGAGATGAGCAGAAGAACGGAACAGCAGGGGAAGCCACAGTCTGCCCTGTGTGCTCTGGGTTCCATTACCCAGAAGGGAGGTATGGAGCTCCCCCCTCCGGCACCGAAGGGGTTAAATCGCCATGCGGGGACGGCACATGTTACATAGGCACCTCAGTAGGTAATTAAAACATAAACTTGACAGAGGAGGTGACCCGGTATAAGTCAATGAGTCATAATCAATAGCGAGTTCACCTTATTTTATTGGCTGCACATCTATGGATCCTGACCATGATGAGTTTCATGAATAAACAATTGACCATAAATATGCCATAGATTGTAAAAAAATTGGCCCAGAAATGTATGCATCTGTGTCATTGTCCTTTGTGATTTGGTGTACTACATGATATATATATATA